TTACTTTTTTTTTTACTTGTATTGAAGGGGCAATCGCAATGGATGTCCCGTAGGAGTCCATACGCCTGGTGCCGTCCCGCACACCCGCCAGACATTTTACGTTCAGGACCAGCTCACCCGTGGCCATCCAGTTCCTCAGCACTGACGTCAGCCAGTAAAGGACATACCTACATTTGGTAAAGTTATGAAGCGGTTAGTGGCTACTGATAATAGTGTGGTGGAAGAAGAATAGCAGTAAATTAAAATAAACTTGGTTGACTGGACAAACAAAACAGAAACTGAAGCGTTTTGGAGTAAGGTGAGACAATTTAAAGAAGCCTCATCTAAAAATCCATTCTGTAAGCTCTTTAAATGTACCATGTCTGCCATGATACTACCCCACTCAAATGCTGACGTAGACAGAGTTTTCAGTGCTATGAATAATATCAAGTCTGACCTAAGAAACAGGATAAAACTTGACCTCTTAAATGATATCTTGACAATAAAATTCGGCCTGATGAGAGTAGGAAAAGGCTGTTCCACTTATCAGCTCCCTGATTGTGTATCACAAGAAATTGGAAGAGCTAAACCATACCAGAGTCATTTTGGATCTGAAGCTTCAACTTCATCATCCAAGCTAAGTTTATCCTGTGGATATTGACAGGCAGACAGCAGTGAAGGTGAGGACATGATTATGTAGGGGAAGTTATATCAATAGCTATATCATTTGTGACTCTTTCCATTTGGATGGTTTTCATAGATGTTTTCCACGCAAATTTAAATGTTTTTAGATATTTTTTGACTCAGTTCTGGATGTTTTTTGGTCAAAGTAAAGTGGCAACACTGGCTAAAGCTGCTTGAACGGCAACAATCAGTATGCCATATTGGCATTTTTATGCCAGACCCTACAAATTTGGCATATTTGAAAATGATCTGGCATAAGATAATTAACTGGCATATTGGGGGTTTTCCTGGCTTTTTTTTTATCAAGATGAGCTCACATTTGCTTTATGGTTCCTCCGTTAGAAACACGCAGATTTACTAAAAGCAATGTAGACCTACAGTTACAATCTTTATTTCAGTTTGACTTTGTTGTAATGTCCTGGTGCGGACTAACGAAGATTTGCGCCATCTCTTATTGTATTTCTTGTCTTCCTAAACGGATCGTGACTTCGATAAACCAAGACCCTCAGTAATTTATGTTAGAATAATGTCTACTATAATAAATGTGTGGTATAGAACCAAAACACACCACTGATACCAAGTGATTCAGATTGTTCAGAAACTACTTGAGGACAGAAAATAGAGAGGATATAGACCTAGTTCTATCTGTGATAGATTTTATTACTTTTACCAGTGGCCACGTCAACCCCCCCCCTTTCCATTGGAAAGCAACTTATTACATCGCAAGTATAATAGTAAATGGAAGAAAACATACTCGTGGTTCAAAAGATCTTCAGATGGATCAGAGGCAGTATATTGAAAACCGTGTCAGTGCACTGTTGCACCAAGAATTAGTAGCATATCAAATCATGAAAAATCTGAAAAACACAGGATGAAACCTACCGGAAAGTCAGTCATAGCTTATTACAACAATGACTCATAGGCAGAGTAATGATAAAGTTAAAGGAAGCAGAGTTGCAACTTGCTGTAGGCGTGACCTGCCATTGTGCAATACGCACAATTGATCATTTAGGTGAAATCATGAGAGCGCATGGTCGGGGGAGTACATTGGAGCACACACAGTTGCATAGAACTAAATGTTCATACCTAATAAAAAAATAATATATCGCCTGCACTTAAGGATGACCATATTGATTATTTTCGGAACAAGAAATATTCCATCATTATAATTGAGTTGCAAAGACTTCATCCCATCTGAGAAAATGCTTAAAGATTTTAAATCCGAAAAGATTTACCCTGGATCTTCCACTGGTTCCAGTGAGGATGACAGTTAAGAATTCAATCTAGAGCTTTTGATGTGGTGGGTACAACGTTATCCTTTTTTGGCATTTTCTGGCATATTTTGGGTAATGGTTTGGCATAAAATCAAGTTATTTTTAATCTGGCAACCCTGGCAACAATTGAACGTACGCAACCGGCGGACTGGAAACCGTTAATAAAAAGAGCACGTAATTTTCTCATTTGTGGTACGTGTTAGTTTTTATTCTTTGCAATTACTGTGCTGTGTCACTTTTTTGTTTTTACCAACTTTTTTAAAAATCAGGAATTATAGTGAAATGTATCTGTACAGTACCTTATATAACACTGAAATATGTAGTTTTTGTGTGTGTGCGATTGTTCCCGCGCCCACACGGAAAACAAAAGACTTGTCTGACTTGTTTTGAAAAGTAAAACTTTTAAGCAACCATTGAGTTACTCAATTACTGAACTAGTGTAAATTTGGAGTCATAACAGATAATAACATTAATAATAATAATTGTAGTTTGATTAATAACGTTTTATCTCATGTTAACAGTCACAGGTGAGATTGTGATTCAGTACAACTACCAAATATCTGAGCATTTTTTTAACTAGTTAATGTATACGTATACGTCAAGTCAACACAGTGTGATATCATAATCAAAGTTCTGAAGTATCATAGATCTGGCGATCACCATGTAATGTTCATGTAATTAAATTGTTAGCCATTACGGCGTGAACATGATAATTAAATGGCCACCGAAGACATAACAAGTGCCTCACGTAATTCACCTGATTATTAACATATGACTTTAAGTGAGAATTTCTGATAATTTCAATATTGAAATGAAACCAAAATCGATGACTAGCTTGTGTTTTTATTTGAGTTTATGAGGGTTAAATTAAACCTTTAATCCAAACCTCGGCTATCTTCTGAATAACGGTCCCAAATTATCGAGGCCAAAAATATACCTCAACAGGGCCTCAACTGCCAAGAGTATCTCCCACACCGCTACACGCGGCGTGGAGTGGGGCTAAACTAGATGGCTGGGACTCACAAGCAAATAAAATGAAGGAATTAGGAAGCTGCAGGAGGTGTGGTAGATGCTGCTCGTGAGTCCCAGCCATCTAGTTTAGCCCCAATCCACGCCGCGTTCAGCAGCATGGGAGATACTCTCGGCGGTGGCGAAAGTGCGCACATGACATTATAGCACAGAGGCCGTTGATTAGTGTGTAGTTTGATACGGCCGTGTGTTGTATGGCATTTTATTTTGTCGATAAAGTTCTGTGTTCTGAATGTATTCGATTCATACTAGAAATCGACAAGCGGATATTGTGAAGTGGATATACAAGATTTTCAAACTTTGTTGTGTTAGATTACAGCAATTTAAATTCACGGGAGACAGTCATGTTGTGATGTATGTGTCTAGTCTAGTCAGTAGTCTGGATGTTTTTCAACTGGCTGACTATTCTTTTTCTACTTTAACTTTAAATGTGAAAATCTTACTTTTGGGGAAACTACTAACAGGTAATTTAGAAGCCAGATCATGAGAATATCGACAATTGTCAGGTGCAAACTATCATCTTGTGTTGGTGAAACCAATTTTGGAAGCAGAAAAGATTAAAAGAAATTAAAGATTTACTCCGTTTTATGCCTCAGACTGTACTGTATCAGCAGAGTAGTCTGGTAGTCCTAGTTTCAGCTTCATAGCAAACGAGTCACCCATCTTTGCTCCGCTCCCGTGCCAACGAAAAACACACAGAATGTTTATCACAGTCCCTTGTGGAAAGATTGACAGACTGCTGTCTTAGCATCTAGCATACACTCGCATTAAAGCATATGGCAGCCATCCGAAGTGCTAACACAAACAGTCCGACATTAGAAATGCAGTTCATTATTGATGGTAGCAGAAGTCACCAACAGATCTGCAGTTGCCCACGCGATCAATTTTAATCACATAATGGCACCACCAAAATTGCGACGACAGGCATCGTGCCATTTTCTGAATCTACAATTCACACCACCACGTTGGTCACAGTCGAAAAAACATTCCAAATGAAATCCGCAGCTCAGTGTCACGCCATGCATTCAACTCAGAAGCTGGGCGACGAAACTATATTCAGTCTACAAATGGAACAAAAATGCATCGGCCACCGTCCAGCAGAAGCGAAAAAATTGCCTCGGCTCCGAAAACAGTGGCCCGCTTAGCGTCCATTTTGACCGGAAGCCTTTGTGCCAGCAGAAGTTTTGCATGTAGCATCTACCTCAGACTGTACTGCACCAGCAGAAGTTTTGCATGTAGCATCTAACTCTGTACTGTACCAGCAGAAGTTTTGCATGTAGCAGTTGTAAATTTACTTTATTCTGTGCCCTTTCATTGAGAGATAAGTGATCGCATCAGTTGTATATTTACTTTATTCTGTGCCTTTTCATTGAGAGATAAGTGATCGCATCAGTTGTATATTTACTTTATTCTGTGCCCTTTCATTGAGAGATGAGTGATCGCATCATTTGTTTATTTACTTTATTGTGAGTAGCATTGTAAAGGTATGTGTATTTTAATGTAAATCATTTTTGGATCAATGAAATAATAGTAAATAATTGTCAGTAGTTTGGAATGTGTTCCCTGTTTTGTGTCCTTCAATGAAGTTTACAGTTGAATTATACAGAAACCCTAGAATAATGATCAACAATTGTTAGAAATATGAAGAAAAACCTGATGCTGAAATTCTGTTGGTTAACAATGTAGAGACTGATTGAGCTTTTATCAGCAAAGGGAGACAAACTGACCAGGAGGCATATTATTCTGTGATTCTGTTACACATGGAAGACAAACTGACCAGGAGGCATAGTATTCTGTGATTGTGTTACACATGGAAGACAAACTGACCAGGAGGCATAGTATTCTGTGATTGTGTTACACATGGAAGACATCTGGAGATGCTGGACAGCCCTGTCGCACATGTCTGCATTACTTGATGTGTCTGCATTACTTGATGTTGATCTGTTTTATTATCATCTTAGAAAACATTACTTTGTTTTATGTAAAACATATTATTTGTGCACACAAGTAACTTTCAACTTGTCCACAGCTGCCATGGACGACTCATCAGGGGTGGATATATATGAAGACCTATCTTTAGATAAAGTATGTATTTGATCATATTAACAATTGTCTAAATGAAAGATCTATTATTACAGGATTCAAACTATTTTTCCTGTTAATTAATATTAATGTAAATCATTTTTATTTGTTCAAGCCCTCCAAAAATCACCCTGTGAGTTTCTGTTAATCTGTGTTTATCACATTCACTGCATTGTTTGCAATAACAAGGCAATTCTTACCACATGCCACAGTCCATCATCAAGTGCCTTGTTGACTAGTGTAGGCGATCATACCGTTGCACAATTTGTAATCTCCAGCGGCTTTTATAAGCCTTTAACACGTCTTCTGGTGTGTCTGGTGTGCGTCTCGTTTTTTGCTATGCCAATCTTAATTCCCAAGTCTGCCATTCTGGCGAGTGATGTGGATTCACTGCCCACAAAGTACTCTATCCTTCCCATTTCTCTGAGGGCATTAATAATATCAGAATGATCCATAGGCTGACCATCGGTAGTGATAGGGGATCCAGCTAACGAGTCAGCTTTTTTATTTCCATTGACGCCTGCGTATCCCTGAACATACACCATACTGGACCTTCATTCACTGACAGGCATACACCACCATACTAGACATTCATTCACTGACAGGCATACACCACCATACTGGACCTTCATTCACTGACAGGCATACAGCACCATACTGGACCTTCATTCACTGACAGGCATACAGCACCATACTGGACCTTCATTCACTGACAGGCATACAGCACCATACTGGACCTTCATTCACTGACAGGCATACACCACCATACTGGACCTTCATTCACTGACAGGCATACACCACCATACTGGACCTTCATTCACTGACAGGCATACAGCACCATACTGGACCTTCATTCACTGACAGGCATACACCACCATACTGGACCTTCATTCACTGACAGGCATACACCACCATACTGGACCTTCATTCACTGACAGGCATACACCACCATACTGGACCTTCATTCACTGACAGGCATACACCACCATACTGGACCTTCATTCACTGACAGGCATACACCACCATACTGGACCTTCATTCACTGACAGGCATACACCACCATACTGGACCTTCATTCACTGACAGGCATACACCACCATACTGGACCTTCATTCACTGACAGGCATACACCATACTGGACCTTCATTCACTGACAGGCATACACCACCATACTGGACCTTCATTCACTGACAGGCATACACCACCATACTGGACCTTCATTCACTGACAGGCATACAGCACCATACTGGACCTTCATTCACTGACAGGCATACACCACCATACTGGACCTTCATTCACTGACAGGCATACAGCACCACACTGGACCTTCATTCACTGACAGGCATACACCACCATACTGGACCTTCATTCACTGACAGGCATACACCACCATACTGGACCTTCATTAACTGACAGGCATACACCACAATACTGGACCTTCATTCACTGACAGGCATACAGCACCATACTGGACCTTCATTTACTGACAGGCATACAGCACCATACTGGACCTTCATTCACTGACAGGCATACATCATACTGGACCTTCATTCACTGACAGGCATACACCGTACTGGACCTTTATTCACTGACAGGCATACACCACCATACTGGACCTTCATTCACTGACAGGCATACACCACCATACTGGACCTTCTTTCACTGACAGGCATACACCACCATACTGGACCTTCATTCACTGACAGGCATACACCACCATACTGGACCTTCATTAACTGACAGGCATACAGCACCATACTGGACCTTCATTCACTGACAGGCATACAGCACCATACTGGACCTTCATTCACTGTCAGGCATACACCACCATACTGGACCTTCATTTACTGACAGGCATACACCACCATACTGGACCTTCATTCACTGACAGGCATACACCACCATACTGGACCTTCATTCACTGACAGGCATACAGTACCATACTGGACCTTCATTAACTGACAGGCATACATCACCATACTGGACCTCTATTCACTGACAAACTTCCTTCACTGATCAGAAAAACAGATAACAGAATGCTGTTGTTCTTTGATGCATGTAAAAAGCAGCACCATGTATGTCTGTGCTGTAATGTCACATGCTTAAGTTGAGTTGAGTCAAGGATTGACATCACAGCACTCTGGCATTCCCATGCATGCCCCCTCCTCATCTTCAGCAGACCGCACAGAGTTCAAATACTGATGGTACCGGTCACAATCTGGTTATATGTGCCTCTTGCCTTTCTTCTACATGTAGTGAGCCAGCCAGATCTTTGGGTTACACCCAGGTGCCTCATTCTCTCCAGGCCATAATAATCTTGTTTTTCTACTGATTCCATTGCGTGTTCCCGAAGGACCTTGACCACATCTGCCTTGTCATGTATCAATTCACCACCCAGTGGTGCAGATCCAGCCAATCTGTCTGCCTGTTTATTACCCACCATGCTGGCATAGCCTGGAGAAAAGATCCAAAGTATGCTCACCACACGTGACCTTTCCAGTGTAGATTGCCACTCTGCTTGAAGCATCCCTGTCTTCACCTTTCTCAGCATGCTTTCAGAGTCTGTTACAATTACGACATGTGTTTGCATCTTGCTCTCTAGCCACCGGAGAGCTGCAATTACCACCTCCATTTTCATGATAGATGTTGTGATGTCATATGCCAGGCTGTCTTGCCATAAAGATTTATCAACTTTCTCTACGAACCCCCAGGCTAATCTCTGTCCTCTCAACACCGAACCATCTGTATAGATGTTAAGATCACATGCTTAATGTCATTGAAATTAGTAGTATACTTTTTCAGAAGATTATATAGACCAGCGGTTCTCAGTCTGCCGCTCGTGACCTTTTTTTTAGGGTCGAAAGACTATTTCACATTTGTCGCCTAAGATCTTCGGAAAACACATATTGATTGAAGTTATAAGGGAGAATAATTGTTTGGGGGTCGGTACAAGAAGAGGGAACTGTATGAAAGGGTCGGCACAACATGAGGGAACTGTATGAAAGGGTCGGCACAACATGAGGGAACTGTATGAAAGGGTCGGCACAACATGAGGGAACTGTATGAAAGGGTCGGCACAACATGAGGGAACTGTATGAAAGGGTCGGCACAACATGAGGGAACTGTATGAAAGGGTCGGCACAACATGAGGGAACTGTATGAAAGGGTCGGCACAACATGAGGGAACTGTATGAAAGGGTCACTGCATTAGGAAGGCTGAGAGCCACTGATATAGACAGAAAATCAGCCATATTGTTACCAATACTAAGACTCGGTCACTCTATCAAATCCCTTTGACCCAGTGTAAATGCTGGTTTTGTGGTTGTCTTGGCAGTGCAGCTTTGGAAGTCGATGACTCACCTTTATAACAGCTTGAATACTGTTTACAGTTATGTAGTATATAGATGGGCAGAGTATGATTATACTTCTGCCTTTCTAGCCCCCAGTGGAGCATAGGCCTTCAACCAACTCATGCCAGTTTAGTCTGTCCTTTGCTATTGCTATGCAGCTCTCCCCATGCCCTCCTCACCTTGTTAACTTCATTCTCTAGCTCCCTTTCCAGTGTGGTTTTGTGTGTGGGTCTCATTCTAATCATTTGTTTTCTCAAGGTGTGTCCTATCCAACGCCATCGTCTTTTGTTCACCTCGCTCTTTTATGGATTTTCAGACCAGGCTGTTGTGATCTCGCATCAAGAATATTTAATTTATCTTGCATGTGATTCTGTGAGAGGTACAGAAGAGAAATAACAGCAAAGTCCAGATTATCAAACTGTTTTGTAGGGTTTCACTTGATTCCACTCGTTGTGTTAGCAGTTGCTGTCTTTACAATCCAGTCTGTTGTCAGTAAAAATAGAAGAGGTGACAAAAGACATCTCTGTCGCACACCTGTTTTTATTTCAAATGTGTTGGCTTTCCCTCATGAAGAACTCGACATTTCATGTCTTTATATGTTGCCTTTACTAAGTTAATAATGTTCTGTGGGATTCCATCAATTTCCAGAGAAATTCCCTAAATGCTTTTTCAGTCTATAAATCCAATGTAAAGTGGTGAGTTCAGTTCAATGCTTTGCTCTGTTATAATACATTATGTGGCTATCTGGTCAATACAGGATCTGTTTGGCTGAAAACTTGCCTGTTAATCTGTTAGCTTTTTATCAGTAGCATCTTTTAGTCTTTCTAAAATAATCCTACCTAATATTTCCCCAGGAACTGATAGCAACATCATTCCTCTATAGTTTTCACATTCCAGTTGATCACCTGTTTTGTGTAGTTTCACAAGATATCCTTCTCTCCAGTGTGCTGGTATTTCTTCTGTCTCCCAGACTTTACTAAATAATCTGTGTAGCAATTCCGTTGACGTGTTTATATTGGCCTTAATAACTTCTGCTGGAATACCATCTGGACTTGCCGCCTTTCCCTCTTTCAGAAGAATGGTAACTTTTTAAATTTCCTATTTAGATGGTATGTCATAGTTAAAATCCAGTTCCATTTCTTAAAGCTGGATATCTGGAGGAACCTCTGGAGCTAATCTATTCAGGAGTATTTCAAAATATTCAACCCATTTGATCTTTAGTGTTAGTGAGTACCTTTCCTTGAATATTGTTGGTTGATCCAGTGGGCTGACTGTCATTACTTACCAATTTCCTTGTGTTCCTGTAAAGATCTCTTAGGTTTCTTTTTCCTGCTGCTGTCTCTGGTTCTTGTACTAGGTCTTCCAAATATTTCCTTTCATCTGCTATTATTCACCTCCTAACATCCTTTTTTAGTTTTAGTTTTTCTTTTATTTAAGCTTTCCTCTGTACTTTTTTACTTTTTATTTACACAGTATTAAATACTGCACAATTTTGGGGGTGATGTTTTCGGAACAGTTTAATCTAAGCATCCCATCGTTTTTATTTTACAGATTTATAAAATGACAACACAGACTCTTCCTCTCAGTGACACCAAACCTGAGCCAGAGGAAGAGGACAGCAAAATAGATCTGTTTATGGAAGCATTAACAGTTCACACCATAGACAAGGTATGATTGGAGACATTTGAGAATGTTTGCTAATATCAGTTGTCCTCTTAGTTGCACACATGCTATTTTAAGCGCCTTTTACAAACCTGTGATCTTGAAAATACTCTTAAATGGTAATTTTTTTTAAAAACCGCCTGGATAATCAGAAACGACAGTCAGGAAAAAAGACTAACAGGACAACTGTTCCATAAATTACATTGTCTTGTCCTACTTGCCCTGGTAATTGTGATGATTGCAGCTCTTATTGCGTTGTAGAGGAACTCTCTCTCTTCTTTATGTTTGGACCACCCAGGTTCTTTCTGTTGCTACCCAGAGAAGTCAGTCAGAAGAATAGATTACAGAGATAGTCATGTTAACAGAGGTAGTGATGATGATGCGCTCTCTCTCTCTCTTGCTTGTGGCATGGTTCTCTCACTGATCTCTACAAAAACATTATAAAACAACTCAGTTCTCTTGATTGTTCAGTCTTTATTGTCTTCTCTCGGTAATAGGAATAACTTCACTGAATATGTTTTTTGAATGGTAGCTGATTCTTCATTAGGTTTATACACTAAATAATCCTAGTATCACTTTTAAGTGCTCCTGAGTATGTCTATAAGTGTTTTTAGGCTAACAACTCCCATTGTGTTCTGCTTGGTGTTAACCCTTTCACTGCTATGTACTTCGCCAGCGAACGTTACCACTGTGTTAAGCAAGTTCCCCGCTGAACTTTCCCCCTGTACTGAATACTTTTCTATCCTCCAAACGCAAAAGATAGGTCGGCATTGAGAGCTCTGTATTGTACACCTGAAAATATTGACCGTAGGTAAGTGGGTGATGGCACGAGTATTGACAAATCAGACGCACTATGGCAATGCTAAGAAACACATTTACAGAAAGGAAACACAAGAAACTAGACTGATTTGCCCGGCTTTACTCAGGACAGTGAAAGAAAATGTATCCTCGGCTGTCTATCTTTGTCTCCACCGCTACCACATATGTAGTAGAAACTTCGCCACAACAGTCACCTTCCAATCGTCAGCAGGAACATTCTTTGAATGATTCAACCACTTTACATTCCTTGCATGTGGATTTTGCAAGACAATTGTTATTCTTCCTGCTTCTACTTCATCGTCATTTCAACTGTTGCCATATGTTTAGTCTGAGGGTCTTATCATCCTCTGGTCCATTCCACCACCCCACAAACTTGACCAACAAATCAACGGCCCCCTCATTCCTGCTGATGGGGGGGGGGGGGGGGGGGTTACGGAATAACTGGTCTAGGAGAATCCTAGCAATTCACCCCAGGTGACTCATAAATTGCTATTGGCACTGATGGCATTCTAATCTGATCCATAAATCGACTCTACCGCTGTAGTCATCATTAATTGTATTCTCAGTGTTATGACTTTTTACAATAAATCATGAATCCTTGGCTGATGTGTGCCAAAATTGCCAAGAGCTGACATTTAAAATTTACATTTTGAAAAAAAAAAGTCATGCAGAGGTTGAACGCAGGACCTTTTGATTGTTATGCAGACGTGATACCAGCTCATCATCATCATCATGTGCCATGCCAACTGACCTAGATGCTCATGCATCTCCACAGATCACGATCCCTGTTGACTGGAGCAGCTCTCTTGATGATATCCCTCCACACCATCACTTGTTGTTGTTGTTGTTGTTATCGATCCAGCGGCGCATGAGCTTTCGCCCTTTGGCCCAATGCCATGTAGTGGAATTTGCATGTTTTCACAAGCTGTTCTTTTGCTCCGTACAAGGTGTTCCACTTGTCTGGTCTCGGAGGGAGTAGCGTTCTTCTTGTCTCACTGAGTTCTGGGCACTCAAAGAGATGGTGTTCAACAGTTTCGTAGGGGTAGTTACATAGCTGGCACTCTGGGGAGTGTTGTGGCTGTATTCTGTTTAAGTGTCCATTGAGTGGAGTATGCTGCGTTCTAAGTCTGAAGATGGTGGCCTGGTCCCTTCTTGTTAGATGGACACCATCACTTTAGCCCATCCATCTCTCTTGGTCTGCCTCTACCCCTCTTTCCACTGATCTTCCCAGTTGTCACGATGTTCTCCAATGTCTCTCTGCTCATTACGTGGCTGATGCCAGCTACATAAGACATTTATATGAAAATAAGAACTGAAAAAAGGACCAGTATTGTACACTTTGATAGACAGACACATTCTTGTCTGTTGTATAGTATACCAGAAACATTAATATTAATCATCATGTCAGTACGTGACCATATCTTCATCATGATCATTGGGGATCCATTTCAATCCAGTCGATGTAGATGGCTGGATCAGATGGTCAGTCTTGCTGACAGCCAGAAGTCCACACATCCGCCGGTGTGCCGTGAAGAGAACCAAACTCAGAACTCACACATTTCAAAGTGATCCTGACTATTGCTCCTTGAAAGAAACTCCATTAATTCTTCATTAATTAACCAATTTTCTTGTATCAAAAAAAAAAAGAGTAGACTTAACGCAAAACCAGAAATATATTTCAGGACAAAAAAATATATCGTTCACCAACCATACCTAAACTCCTAAACGTGCGTGATAAGGGTTTTAATTGTATGTAAATGGGTGGCTCCCGCATGGTTTTCCTTTCTTGCTGCTCCAGTTGACACACTCACAGTATACAGTCTATTCAGTGAAAAATCATTTTCCACTGAACTGAAAGCCTTACAGAATTTAGTCTCTCGTATGACATTGATATCTCTCTTGTCCATAGACGACCCATTCCAGATAGTAGCCCTGCCAGACATGGCGTCTGCTCTCTCATTACCTTTCACACCAGGATTTCCTGGGACACAAATGGTGATTTTGCAAAATGCTTCATGCTGTATCAACTCATCATCATCATTATCCGTAACACTACATGTCTTTAGGTGACCAGTTTCTGTTGACAGTCTAATCAGCTCTCTCCAACTTTGGCGGTCAATGGCGATGGTTGCATGCCTGAGACCTGTCCAATCAATCAGGTTCTGTAACCATGTCTGCCTCTTCTCCTCGTTCCCTCTACTAAGCCCTACAGTATTTTTTCCAAAAGGCCGCTAGATCTGATTACATGCCACAACTATTGGTGGCACCCAATCATGGCATTATTACATGCCACAACTATTGGTGGCACCCAATCATGGCATTATTACATGCCACAACTATTAGTGGCACCCAATTATGGCATTATTACATGCCACAACTATTGGTGGCACCCAATTATGGCATTATTACATGCCACAACTATTGGTGGCACCCAATCATGGCATTATTACATGCCACAACTATTGGTGGCACCCAATCATGGCATTATTACATGCCACAACTATTAGTGGCACCCAATTATGGCATTATTACATGCCACAACTATTGGTGGCACCCAATCATGGCATTATTACATGCCACAACTATTGGTGGCACCCAATCATGGCATTATTACATGCCACAACTATTGGTGGCACCCAATCATGGCATTATTACATGCCACAACTATTAGTGGCACCCAATCATGGCATTATTACATGCCACAACTATTGGTGGCACCCAATTATGGCATTATTACATGCCACAACTATTGGTGGCACCCAATCATGGCATTGTCTTGTCAGAGTGATAACCACTACAAAGTACTGCTTGTATTCGTTTGGTATGGGTATCCATCCCTCTCCACGGTTTATATCTTAAAGGGAAATTACCCATTCAAGTATTGTCTCTGCATGGCCCAACCAAGACTGGCCTCGTTTGAGTCTGTTGCCTTTACATGTATTCAGTTCATCATGGAGTGGATGTGTAAAGACCTCAGTGATTTTGAGGTAGGCACACGTTTGGTGCATTTCAAGTCTGCTGTTTATATCTGGAAGATCTAGTAGGTATCTCATTGCTCTACATGACATGTCTTTGGTGCAGCTAAGTATGATGCGCATTGCTTCGTTTAGTACCTTTTCCAGTCTGTTGATTTGTGTCTTCAACATTCATCTTTAAAACCACCATTCTCTTACCTCAGCTGCTGATTGTCTAGTATTCTTTCTTGTACAGAAGAAACAACCATACAAGGCTTTTCAAAAAACAACTTTTCATTGCTGATTCTGGTAGCCTACATGTGGAAAATACTTGATCTGTTTGATTGTTCTCCTGTATTTGTATATAAAACCCCAACAATTGACTTTTCTCAAAAGCCTGGAAATATACAAATGCCAACTCATGATATCTGTGTGTTTACTTGTGTTCCTGGGCACAAATCAAGTATAGCAGCATATTGTCTAGGAAAATGTTTTTTTTTAAAATACTTTGAAAAACATTAAGAACATTTGAAAATTGTTGGAGAATTTGGCTAGGAGCCCTGATGAAATGTCTTCCTGGGGAAAAACATGGAGAACATTTGAAAGTTGTTGGAGAATTTGGCTAGGAGCCCTGGTAAAATGTCTTCCTGTGGAAAAACATGGAGAACATTTAAAAGTTGTTGGAGAATTTGGCTAGGAGCCCTGATGAAATGTCTTCCTGTGGAAAAACAAGGAGAACATTTGAAAGTTGTTGGAGAATTTGGCTAGGAGCCCTGATGAAATGTCTTCCTGGGGAAAAACAGTAATATAACATGGGTAAACATTTGTCTTATCACCACTGCTGTTTATCACCTACATCGACAGTATATGCAAGAATGCCAAGCCTTTGAATGAAGATCTTAGTAAGATCAACGAATTACTCTTTGCAGATGACCAGGCCTTGATAGCAGATACAGCCATGAAATTGCAACAACATCTAACATCCATGAATGAAGAATGTAAAACAAATAATATGAAAATCAACACTGAAAAGACAGAAGTAATGTCAATAGGAAAAAAGAAGACAGATCTAAACATAACAATAGAATACAAAGGCATTAAACAGGCATCTGAGTTTAAATATCTGGGAACTACATTTACCGAAGATGGGAAATTGGATAAAGAAATTGACATTAGATGCAGTAAAGCAAACCAAGTATTGGGACAGCTAGCCCCCCTCTTACAGCATAAGACAATCCCAGTCAGCACAAAGAGACATCTTATTCAAAGCATATTTATTCCAACTCTGTGCTACCAGTGCCAGACATGGTCACTCACAACAAACCATAAAAGAAAATTAGTAACCACGGAAATGAGATGTCTGAGAAGGGCTGTAGGAGTGACCATAAGAGATAAGATCAGAAATGAGATCATAAGAGAACAAGTCGGCACAGAACCAATTCTGGATTACATACAAAGACAGCAAGTAAAATGGTTTGCCCACTTAGAGAGAATGCCTTGTGACACCATACCATACAAAGCATACATGGGAAGAGAAGAAGGACGTAGAGCACGGGGTAGACCAAAAACAAGATGGAAGGATAACATCAGAGAAACTCTACAACAGCACGATGTGCCTATGGTCGAGGCAGCCAGAAGAGCTAGAAACAGAACCTTATATCTCCCTCGACACCCACAGCGGTAAAAGAGGAAGTGAAGAAGAAGAAGAAGAAGAAACATTTGTCACCCGTGATATTATTGTAGATTATGAAAACTAGCACTAAAAAGTGAAGTCAGTGAATGCAGACAAAGTTAGCTCCGTGATATTGACTTTTCTAGTGACATTGCTCTTCTGTTGCTGTCTTGACATGCTAAATAAATCAGACCTCAATGAAAGAGCACACAATTTGGAAACATTTCTGGTTAAAGACCTGGCTGGCTGTGCATGTTTTCTATTAGCTGCATCATTTTTCAAGTGAGTCAGTAATCTTCCATCTTGTGGCTGATGTGCTGGGATGTAGACTAAGAGGTCAGCTTTTCTCCAGATCTCCATTGCTTCATGATTTATGTATTTATACTTGAGATTTTTCATGATGTGCTGTTAACTCTGAAGTGAGGCCTACTCCCCCTGACCCCTCCTTGTCCCATTGTGGCAAATAATGGTGTGAGCCTTGACCAGGCAGGTAACATTCTCAACTCTACCAGGCCAGTGGCAAAAACTGACAAGGTATGCCAGAACATGGTTCAGTCATGTTTGTTTAGGTCTACAAATGTAATTTTGTCCTGTAATTATGCCAGTCAGGCAATGAGTGCATTCTTAAAAGCCTGGTCACATGACAAACATGTGTTTCTTTTGCATACACTTTGAGTTTTTATTAACAGTTAATGCTTACAAGGCTCACCATTGTACTTGTACCATTATGGTTGTCATTGTTACGCTTCACGTTTGTTGCATTATTGCAAACTTGTGTAGCCTTCAGTGTTTCCCTTGTAGAAAACATGTTGGGTAGTCACATTTTTGTGAACATTGAAACTACAGTCACAGTTAATGCTGGTTCGGTGCTAAATACAAAATGTCTGTTCTGTCAAAAATGCAAGGTGCAGAGTCAACTGTCAGAGCTCCAGAAAGAGAACCAGAAGCTGCGCTGTGAAAATGCAGAATTAAGAGAGAGCAAGAAACAACTTAGCAAAAATATATCATCTCTTTTCCTAACGGCTAAACAAGAGATACTGAAAAAAGATCAAGAGATTGCAAAGCTTATAAATGAGAGGTGAGCAGCCTAGATTATATGTATATTATGTATATCAAGATTATTATGAGGATCAAAACATCTTGTGAGATGTGCTATTGCAGGATGCCAACAGCTAGATTGGAAAACAAGATCCAATAAACCCCACTCTACATATTCCCCTGTGGGTTGCGGGGCCCTGATTGTGGGGAAAACAAGAATAGACCCACTGCCTCCCCGACAAGCATGTCCTAGTAGTCTACTAATTGGGAGCTTTCTTCCACGTCAGAGTGCATCTGCCTGAGCGGCATGAACAACCAACTGCACACACACATTGACCAGTAAAACGGATGTACACACAAAACTCAGGCTCTGGCTCAAAGGGAAGAACAACTAGGACTTTATGCTGAAGCTAACAGCCGGTGAATACAAGAAGAAGAAACTATTAGTCAGTTGCATATGGGAAACTTTTGAAATGGTCTACTACTGAATACACTTGAAGGCGTGTCTCCTCTAAAGAAAGGCAAGAGGGTGTGTGAGAAACAGTATATCACATAACATTGCATGAACATTGGAATTTGATACATATTCATTTTTTTCATTTTTCTTTTAGGTCCCTTGTAATTTACATCATTTAATGTTTCACCCTGTTCATGTTTATTGAGTTCTTCCTTTTGTTAACACCTTTATTATCTTGAGGTCTTCTAGTTAAAAATAAACTAAAGGGCAGATATCTTTACACATCCATACAATTCTCCAGATATCTTTACACACTCATACAATTCTCCAGTTTCAGTGGTGAAAGATGAGTTTTTTCATTCTGCGACAGATTAATTGACAGTTTTTTGGGTAAAAAAAAAAATGTTTTTATTGTTATGTTCATTAATAGACAGACATTTGAAGAATGTTAACTATTGTTCATAAATATTGACCATGGATAACCCCCCCCCCCCCCCCCCCCCCCCCCCCCCCCCCCCCCCCCACACAGTGACACTGTTCCTGCCAAGCACTAAATGATTCTATGACAGTCCTTCAGTTTTCACAGTTAACTACAGTAGAACCTCGCCTAACGAGCACCTCTCGTAACGAGTAATTCACATAACGGGCAAAACAAATTGTAAAAGAATGACTTGTTTAACGAGCGATGTTTCGCATAACGAAAAGGCGAGAATAGGGGTATAGTGAATTAATTATTAGAAAGATAATTAGGAAATAGATTTGTAATTTTGTGTGTGAAAAAAATGCGAAAAAGCCGCAAGAAAACAGCCACAGGAGAGTAAAAATAACCACAGAAATAAAACATCAAATCATTGACAAGCGAGAATAAGGCGTAAGTGTGGCTGATCTAGCACGCACATACAATCGGTTCACATCAATGATTTGCACTATCCTCAAGAACAAGGACAAGATTAAGGAGATAAATGCTTCACAGGGAGTGACAAGAATGTCTGCACAACAGTTACGTATTCTCATATGGATAAATTAAAAGCAGTTGCAAGGTGACACTATTAACGAGAACATCATTTGTAAAAAGGCAAAAATAATTTTCGCCGACCTAGTTAGAAAGACACCAGGATCATCAACGGCCGAAGAAGAAGTATTTGAGGGAAGCCGTGGGTGATTTGAGAAGTTCAAGAAAAGAACCAGCATCCACAGCATTGTATGGCACGGTGAAGCAGCAAGTTCTGACACAAAAGCAGCAGAGAACTTCATCGGCGATTTCAAGAAGCTCGTAGATTCTGAAGGTCACTTGCCGCAATCGGTTTTTTATTGTGACGAATTAGGTCTCTTCTGAAAAAAAAAATGCAGAAGCGAACGTATATAACAGCAGAGGAGAATGTATTGCCCGGCCACTTGTTTACCATTCAGGAACTCCACGAACCTTCAATAAATGCAAAATCTAGAAGAGCAGGCTAAATGTGATGTGAAGGTCCAACAGGGAGGCTTGGGTGACACATGACTTTTTTACTGAGTGGATCAAGGAAGTGTTTGGGCCTTCTGTGAAAAAATATTTGCTTGAGATGAATCTGCCACTCCATGTCTTGCTTGTTATTGATAACGCTCCTGCCCATCCTCCAGGCCTACAAGATGACCTCCCTGAAGAATTTAAGTTCATCAAGATCCAGTTTCTGCCTCCCAACACCACTCCGATACTCCAGCCCATGGACCAGCAAGTTTTTTCTAACTTTAAGAAGCTCTACACTAAAGCACTCTTCGAGCATTGTTTTCAGGTGACTGAAGGGACCAACCTCACTCTCAGAGTTTTAGAAAAATCATTTCTACATAAATGCCTGCCTCAAGATCATCGACAAGGCGGGGGAAGGGTTTATCAAGAGAACCCTTACTTCTGCTTGGAGAAAGCTTTGGCTAGAGAGTGTTGTCTGTTTGTGACTTTGAGGGGTTCGAGACAGTACCTGTGGAACATGTAGTCAACGAGATTGTGCCTTTGGCCACTATCATGGGTTTGTAGGTGGATAACAGTGATATCGAAGAGCTTGTGGAAGAGCCCGGCCAAGAGCTGACACCCAAGAGCTTATGGAGTTGCATTGTGTTTCACAGCAAGAAGCTTTGGAGGAAAGTTTGTCAGAGGAGGTAACAGAAAAGCAACATTCTTCTGGCGAAATAAGAGAAATGCTGAAAGCATGGCAAACTGTTGCCTCTTACATTGAGAAGCATCACCCTAAAAAGGAAGTGGCTATGCGCGCTGCAAATTTATTTAATGATAATGCTGTGTCACATATTCACCAAATTTTGAAACGTCTGCAAAAACATGTCTCTGGACATCTTTCTAGTAAAAAATAATTAGGTTTGTATCATAATTATTTCAATTTTTTTTTTCTGCAAATCGAATTCTTATTCCAGGTGGGTTTGTTCCGCGGTGGAAGAAAAGATAAAGATGATTCTTCTCCTTCTTCTTCACTTCCTCTTTTACCGCTGTGGGTGTCGAGGGAGATATAAGGTTCTGTTTCTAGCTCTTCTGGCTGCCTCGCCCATAGGCACATCGTGCTGTTGTAGAGTTTCTCTGATGTTATCCTTTCATCTTGTTCTTGGTCTACCCCGTGCTCTACGTCCTTCTCTTTCCATGTATGCTTTGTATGGTATGGTGTCACAAGGCATTCTCTCTAAGTGGGCAAACCATTTGACTTGCTGTCTTTGTATGTAATCCAGAATTGGTTCTGTGCCGACTTGTTCTCTTATGATCTCATTCCTGATCTTATTTATCTCTTATGGTCACTCCTACAGCCCTTCTCAGACATCTCATTTCCGTGGTTACTAATTTTTGTCTCGTAGTCCCTTAACATTGCCATGGTCAGATATGGTTTGATCAGTCCGTTTATATCTCATTTTTATTTCTGTAGCGGTAATAAATCCATTGCCGGCTTGCTAGGCCTGTCGCAACTTCACCAGAGCCCCGTTGGCCAGGACGTTTCGGGGTGACCCAGGGTGGCCTTCATGGCCTTAATATGTATATCACTGAGAAAACAGAACAGCATAACTAGAATGTCTTTGCATTGGAACCCACAGGGGCAAAGGATTAAAGGAAGGCCAAAAAACACATGGAGAAGAGAGCTGGAGAACTAGGTTAGAAAGATTGGGAGGACATGGGGAGAGCTCCATGCAATGGCGAAGGATAGAACGACTTGGCGTGAGTTGGTTGAGGGCCTATGCTCCATTGGGGGATAGAAAGGCAGAAGAAGAAGAATATGTATATAATTGTCTTTGAATAAACGTTATACGTAACATTTTGGGAGTATTTTTTTTTACATGGAACACATTATCGTATTTTACATTAATATATATGAGAAAAATTGTTTCGCATAACGAGTGTTTCACTTTACGAGTATGATTCTGGAACCAATTGTGCTCATTAAGCGAGGTTCCACTGTATTCAAATTAGAGACTATCACAGGCACAAATGATAAAGATACAGGAAACCAATACAGCTCTGTGCCTGTTGCTGGCACAGAAACTGAACACAATAAAACCTTGTTTACAAAACTCACTTAGGAAGAACACTCTGTTAACATGAACATATTTTGGGCCCAGCAGGAATGTATTACATATGACTGTATTTTGTCTCCACTTAGCGCACGTTAGAAGAAATGAACTCTTTATTTTAGGAGTTTATGTTAATGAAACAAGGACTTTTGTACTGTATAACTCTTAATGGAAATAGTAAGCAGTAAGCACTGAACCGTTGTAAACACCTGTCTCCCAACTTATAAATATGGCACTAAATTTTAGAAGCCCATATCTGTTTTAACTTGAAAAACATTCATAATAAATTGTGGATACTGCAGCCATTCACTATTCACAGCCTTGACTGTCATGAAAGTGTAACATAGTTTGTAGCAGTTGTGTGCTGTGACAGCCATGTTTTCCCAGTTGTGTGCTGTGACAGTCATGTTTTCCCAGTTGTGTGCTGTGACAGCCATGTTTTCCCAGTTGTGTGCTGTGACAGCCATGTTTTCCCAGTTGTGTGCTGTGACAGTCATGTTTTCCCAGTTGTGTGCTGTGACAGCCATGTTTTCCCAGTTGTCTGCTGTGACATTCATGTTTTCCCAGTTGTGTGCTGTGACAGCCATGTTTTCCCAGTTGTGTGCTGTGACAGCCATGTTTTCCCAGTTGTCTGCTGTGACAGTCATGTTTTCCCAGTTGTCTGCTGTGACAGCCATGTTTTCCCAGTTGTGTGCTGTGACAGCCATGTTTTCCCAGTTGTGTGCTGTGACAGTCATGATTTCCCAGTTGTCTGCTGTGACAGCCATGTTTTCCCAGTTGTATCCTGTGACAGTCATGTTTTCCCAGTTGTCTGCTGTGACAGCCATGTTTTCCCAGTTGTGTGCTGTGACAGTCATGTTTTCCCAGTTGTGTGCTGTGACAGTCATGTTTTCCCAGTTGTGTGCTGTGACAGCCATGTTTTCCCAGTTGTGTGCTGTGACAGCCATGTTTTCCCAGTTGTCTGCTGTGACAGCCATGTTTTCCCAGTTGTGTGCTGTGACAGCCATGTTTTCCCAGTTGTCTGCTGTGACAGCCATGTTTTC